TTAATTTCTATGGGATCTAAAATTTGAAGGTTATCAAAGGTAAAAGCTTCACAAACAACAAACTATTTATGAAGAAACATCAGGCCGTCCTTCTAAAATGTCTGCAAACCAAAACACAAGGGCAGACACATATTTTATCTCTACATATGAACCACAAAAGGGTCTTTTAGTCTTACTGATTATATTTTATTAAACATTTTATACTACATTCTGTAACAGAAAGTTATTACTATTGATTGCTACAAAAGATCTATCAGTTGTTTCTTCATATTTTAAGAGTAAATTTTTCTTTAACACTCAAACTTGCCTGCAAAGAATTTTTACTTCCAACATTTACTAAGTGTTTACTATGTGCCAGACATTGCCCTATGATGCTGAGGAATTGGACTTATGAAATATCTAGCCAACAACTCCATGATTTCATGAATCAGTGAATCTACACAAATACAACAATGTGGTACATAAGTTAGATCTGGAAAAAAAATTTCTCCTCTAAACAAATAAAATGTTCTCCTTTCAAATGAGTTAATGGTTTCCAAATATATTAGCAAAACAGAATTTTGTTGCAAGCTTGGATTGGCTTTCCGATTTTCTCTAAATTTTAATGCTTTATACATTTAGAAGCAAAGGGGTAGATGGATCTTAAGGAAGAGACGCGTGGATAGAGTAAAGTCTACTTGTTTAACGAGGACCTCTAGGGGAAGACGGTAATCAGAGTTACATTCTAAAGGATGCATACAGGTGTTTGCTGAGGAGACAAGAAGGCAGTCACTTCAGTGGAGGAAAACTATGTGCTTTTTTGGCCCATTGACATTCTTGATGTGCTTTAAGACCAGTGTGAAACATGGCCTGGCGTGGTAGCCTAGTGGCTAAAGTCCTTGCCTTACACTCACCAGGATCCCATATGGGTGTAGGTTCCAATCCTGGCAGCCCCGCTTCCCTTCCAGCTCCCTGCTTATGGCCTGGGAAAACAGTTGAGAATGACCCAAAGCCTTGGGACCCTGTAACCACATAGGAGACCTGGAGATGACTTTGGGCTACTTGCTTCAGACTGGCTCAGCTTCAGCTGTTGTCGCCACTTGGGGAGTGAATCAATGGACAAAATATCTTCCTGTCTTTTCTCCTCTCTATATATCTGGCTTTCCAATTAAAATAAAACTCTTAAAAAAATGCTTCTATATGTGACAGAACATTTAGATGAGGAGTATTTGGGGGGGCAGCACAATGGTGTGGCATATTAATCCTCTGCCTATGGTGCTAGCATCACATGAGCACCAGTTCAAACCGCTGCTGCTCCACTTTTGATCCAGATCCCTGCTAATGGCCTGGGACTCTATCAAAGGACGTCCCAAGGCTTTGGACTTCTGATCATGTGTGGGAAATATGGAAGAAGCTTCTTGACCGGCTTAGCTTTGGCTGTAGTGAACCAGCACATGAGATCTCTCCCTCTCTGTATCTCAGATTTTGAAGTAAAATACTAAGTCTTTTGTTTCTCACTCCACTCCCCCTTTTTATTGTAAAGTCAGATATACAGAGAGGAGGAGAGACAGAGAGGAAGATGTTCCATCTGCTGATTCATTGCTCAAGTGGTCACAATGGCCGGAACTGAGCTGATCAGAAGCCAGGAGCCAGGAACCAGGAGTTTCTTCTGAGTCTCCCATGTGGGGGCGGGGTCCCAAGGTTCAGGACCATTCTTGACTACTTTTCCAGGCCACAAGCAGGGAGCTAGATGGGATGTGGAGTTGCTGGGATACGAACTGGTGCCGATATGGGATTTCTGTGTGTGCGAGGCAAAGACTTTAGCTGCTAGGCTACTGCACCAGGCTCTTCCCCCTTTTCAAGTGTTTTCATTAGACCAAATACTATGCAAAGTAACTGGGGGTGAGGGGTATGTAGGAAAGGCAGGTATAACATATATTTAGAAGTTTTACAGGGGTGATTTGACCAAAATACAATGAGGTAAAAATATAATATACAAAAAGAGATAACTAATTATAGCATTTTAGGCTTACAAAGAATAAATAATCTGAACCACAGATTACATATTTCTATGCTCAACCCAGGACCTTGACTCAAGTGTGCCAGTGATGGTGAAACCTCTTGAGGTGGAGGTGGAGGTGAGGTTATGTGTGATACTCAATAGTGTAAGTTAAAGGAGCTGAGAAAAAATTAAGCTTAGTTCAAGAGTGCATTAGAGGAATACTACAATGAATCCCTATATCCCTGGTCTCCAACAAAAAGCAGTGATCTCAGCAGAGGCTAGACATGATGCACAGAATTTCTCAGAAAGTGTACATAAAGGAGAAAATGTACAAACACATGTCCATGACTTGAATATGTCAGAAGCAAAGATTGATCTTTGAGGAAGAGGCAGTAAGTAATAGTGACACTGGTTACTCAAGGGCAGAGGCAATGCGATACAAAAGTCTTGAATGTGGTTTGCTTTTGTATGTTCATAACACAAACCTAATGAATAAAAATATCTGCAAAATTATTTTTACATAAAGAAGAGAAAGAAAATTAACCTTCAACTAACAGATGACTTCTATATCCCTTGCAACTGTTTACGTGAATATTCAACTCTTATTCCAAAGACTACAGTATATTTCTTTACCTGATTTTGAGAGAATGCCATTTCCTTTTGCTATGCCAACATAGACTAGAATGTTTACAACATCAGAAACCTCAATATGGAGATTAGTTGTTCCTATATCATGATCTTTAGCAGCAGCTACACCTGTATATAAAAAATAAAATTTCACTTGAGAAATGTTTCTAATATCAGGTATTCCCCAAATTAGCTCTATCAGAATAATTTATCAATTTATACTTGCATTTTAGTATCTTGTTGCAAAAAAAAAAAAAAAACCCGTCCCTAAAAGGCATAATAAGATGTAAATATTTTTCAGTGCAATGAGTTGGTAGGTACTTAATAGGCTGTTAGCTGTTAAACTACTTACAAAAATGGATTTAAATGTCCTATTCAAACAACAGATTTACTAGAAATTAAATACTACCAGAGTGTTTATCTTTGGACAGAAATCTGATTATACACTTACCATAGGCACTGCACAATCTGGGTCCCAAATCAGGGCGCACAAAAAATCCTGGCAAATGAGAGGCCAAATTGAATTTTCCCTCTGGGTTACAGTATTCTGGTAATGGTAGGCATTTTAAAAGATCCTCATACCTGAAGAATAACAAGATTACTTTCTTTTATTTTTCCTTTTATTTATTTTTGTTCCAGTTGAAAGGCATTGAGAGAGAGAGTGCTTGCCAGAATATTATTAGTATAAAGGATAAGGAGGAAGCAGCAAATCAGGGACTTCAATATGAGATGTGTGCTTCCCAAGCACATCTTAACCATTGTACCATTTTTTCAAAAATATTTTTTACCTTTATTTTTATTGGAAAGGCAGATATACAGAGAGAAGGAGATACAAAAAGATCTTTCATCTGCTGGTTTGCTCCCCAAGTAGTCGCAATGGCTGGAGCCAATCTGAAGTCAGCAGCAATAAGCTTCTTCTGGGTCTCTCACAAAGGTGCAGGGTCTCAAGGCTTTGGGCCATCCTATACTGGTTTTCCAGGCCACAAGCACGGAGCTCTCTTATATGGGATACATCTCATACTCTATGCTATTGAACAAAACCATAAAAACATCCCTATGGGAACAAACAGGGTGTAGAGAAGGCCAATCCTCTGCAATGAAGTGCTAGCATCCCATATGCATGCCACTTTGATTCAGGAGAGCAGTGCAAGATGGCCCAAGTCCTTAGTACCCTGCACCAATGTGGTAGACCTAGAAAAAGCTCTTGCTTCCCACCACTGGATTAGCTCAGCTCTGCCCACTGTGGTCATTTGGGGGCATGAATCAGCAGAACTGTCAACTCTCCCTATCTCTATAAAATCTGCATTTCTAAAAAAAAAAAAAAGGCAGAAAGAAAGAAAAATAACTTAGTTATTCAACTTCTAAGAATATATCCAAAGGAAAGGAAAACTGCATATGAGAAGGGGATCTGTCATCCTATATTTACAACAGCACAATCTATAATAGTAAAGACACAGCAACAATTCAGATGTCCACCTAAAGAGTAGTGATTAGAGAAATTATGGTATTCCATGGAATATTACTCAATGATTAAAAAGAATGAAATTATACCATTTGCAACTGGATGGTCCCAACCAGACACCATTATGCTCATAAGTCAATCCAAAAAAGAAAAATATCATATGCTCTCTAATATAAGGAAGCCATCATGAAAATTGGAATGTATGATGATGGAGTAGTGGAGGCTACCATATCCAGCTGTGGGAGCACAGTGCAACATGCACCCCTGCTTCTGGTTGAAGATGGACGCCCAGTGAAAGTGTTGGACATATCTAGACAATGAGATGATAGGCTGCCTGACATTGTCTGTACTAGCAATGTCGGGGCACACTTAAACAGCAGACTGATGGAACCGTGACTCCTTATAAAGGAATGTAATGTTGTGTTGATGTGGGGAAATCAGTCGGGGGATAGAAATTGTTGGGAGGGAGAATCCCAGACTATAAAAAGTTGTACCAAGAAATTCAAAATTTAAAACAAAACAAAAACAAAACTCTTCCTAATGTTGAAATCACTAAGATTCAGTTTTATTTCTTAAGACGAAAAGGTCTAAAATTTACATCTGTAATTACTTATCGTACCCCTTGGGAAGTTATTTGCTTAACTTAAGAAGAGTTAAGCTTATAAAGACATACCTTGCTGGCATCATAGTCTTGAAGTCTTCACCTGAAGGGCAGTCTTTCAATTTTAACACAACTGTTTCCCCACTTTTGTTTTTCTGTCGTTCTATAAAGAATGCAGTTAATTAGTAATGATAATCTGTTTTTATTTCATTTCACATTTGGAGAGTAGGAAATATAAATGTATGATCTGATGACTGTATAGTAAATGTTTTAGCATTTTTACTCCTTAGGTTCTCATACAGCATCCAAACTTTTTCTTTTGTACTTAAATAGGATATACTGCATTATCCACTTGAAAATGAACTCAAACTCTTGAAAATGAAAGACTCCTTACAAGTAGCATTACAATCTTAAATTTATCCTTTTCATTTTCATTGTTGTAAATACATGATACAATTTTCACAATTTTATGCATTATAAAAAATCTGCCCATATATAATAAATACCTTTTTTGTGACAAAAAAACTAATAGTATGAGCCAGGATTAGCACCCGGTATTTTGTTTCCTCAATTAAGTTAACAATATTTAATCATTCTATATTATTCTAATATTCTTTAGCAATAGTCTTATTCAGTTTCAAAGTCTAAAAGGTCTAAAAACTTAAAGTATCATTTTAGGAGTACATGTTTTAACGAACAGTAAAATTAAAGAAAACAAACAAATGAAGAAACAAACCAACATACTTGAAACTTCTTCAAAACCATCCCAGAATTCCTTAACATTGGCATTTGAAATAATGCTGTCTTTGCAGTTCAGCAGATCAGCCTGGTGATCTCCAAAATCAAGGCTAACGGAGTCGGCCTTCCATAAGCTTATGTTCATTTTCTTATGAACACCGGACACCACTGCAGGCTTGGGACCAACCAACCATTAAATATGTAAGTAACAAATCCAGAAGTATATGGAGGCTTCAAAATTTTACTTTACAAACAACACACAACAAATGGTTAACATATTAAACTTTAGTCCCAGGAACAAAACTTTGGAGTACAAAAAAAAGCATTTAAAAAATACTATTTGCAGCAAATGGTCCCAACTGCAGACCAGTAATGCTTAGTAAAATAAGCCAGTTCTAAAAGCAAATATATATTATGTTCTCTGTGATATAAGCTAGCATTAGTGCAAAGTACAAAGTAAATAGATATAGGTAATCAACTATATACATACATTCTTATAGGTGAATTAGATAAAAATTGAGTCTGGCATTGCAATAAGTTAACATACACTGCAGTATGTGCTGCTACTCCCAAATAAAAGTAGGACTCCCAATAAGGCATTTAAAGTATATCTTTATAGCATGATACTAGATTTCCTAACTTTGCTTATGCCATGATACATTTAAATAGGAGAAAGTAAAACTTGTAACTGTCACTAAGGAAGTATACTACTATAATTTGGGAGGAAAATGATAAGAGTAGAAAATCAGGAGGGAAGAACTCCTTTTTCTACAAAGCTATATCATGGAAAAGAATAACAATGACATATATCTTGGGAATATCATTACCATATGATGGTAAAGAAAAGGAAGTGAATGAATGTGAAGTATAGTGACATTTTGGCAACAGAATACTATATTACAAATTTCATTGGGAGTAGAAATAGGAGTTTTTGGGTTGTTTTATTTAGATTCATTCACTCTTTATTTTTTCATAGACAAAATATAAATTACTTATGTGAATTCAAGGGAAAATATTCAGACAAATCTTAAAACTCGCTTCTAAACAACTCTTTTAAACTCTTTAAGCTATTAGAGTAAATAATTACCGCTGGTAATGCATACACTAATTCCTAGTGCCTAAATAATAATGCTTATATCCAGCTCCTTATTTTTGAATGGTAATCAGAAGATTAAAAGGACTAAATTTTTAGATAGTGTAAAATAAAAACTTAACATGATGTATAACTTCCATCTATAATCATATCCCTGACTCACTTCTTTTTTCCCACAACTTTCTCATATACCCTCATCTATGTTCCAGTAACACAAATCTACTTAGAATTCCCTAAGCATGTCAATCCTCTGACTGGTGTAGCACAACTTCACCTAACCACTAAGGATTCAATTCAGACAAGCCTTCTGGAACAACTACCCTGGCGTACCCATTCCCATCTCTGGGTTTCCACTGCACCTTGCTTGAAGTTCTTAGAATACTTAGCATACTTAATTTTTAAAAGATTTATTCATTCATTTATTTGATAATTACAGAAAAAGACAGAGATCTTCTCATGACAAGTCTGTCCCCCCAAATAGCTGAAAAGGCCAGTTCTGGGTGAGGCCAAAACCAGACACTCCCAGATAAGGGAGGCCAGGCAAGGGTCATACTCTGTTGCCATACATCTGCTGCTTAACCTGCCAGGCCACAGTGCACAACCCTGAACAATTAACATATTTCTGAAAATGTTTAGGTGACAGTTTACCTAATACTACACCTCAGAGTTTCATACAAATTCATTACATGGTTTAAATTCTGGCTCAGAAATAACATTAAGGATTCAAGAAAACCTAATGGAAAAAAACCTTAAATCTATGGCTGGCTTTGTGGTATAGCCAGTGGACAGAAGATCTTTCCCTCTTTCTGTCTCTCTCTAACTCTTTAAATTCTTAAGAAAAGCTAAATCTGGCATGTACATAAATTCACAAACTAATTTTTGCAGAAAGATGAAATTTTTAGCATAGTTTCAAAGGGATCACTGATCTAAAAGAATTAAAATATAGTTCTCATTTACTTCTCTGAATATCTTGATGTGTAGCACAAAAACCAGATTTTACTAGATATGCTGAGTGGACATAGTAAAAGAACACAGATGGTTTCCAGAAGGCATGAAATAAATGGAATATACTACTTTCATACAAATACTTAAAATAGTTCATAATTTTGGCATTAATGTAGTGAACTTCTATTTGAAAATACATCAGTCGTATCAAAACTTATATAAAACAAAAATAATTTTTTGGGGGGGAATAATGACATAATGAGGCTTCTTACTCAAGATTTGATGAACCCATTTATAAAGGCAAAAACATTTACACACTTACTGATTCAAGAAAAATTATTCTATTAGATTTTCTATTGAAAATCTAAAGAAAAGAATTTTGCAAATATGACATTGTTAAATGTTCATTGGAAATATTAAAAATATATATCATGAGTATTTTCCTGATGATTCATACATGTCTGGCAATAAAATCCTAGAAGTTAAATAATCATTCTGGTAAGATTTTCAATGTTTTTGATCTCCTGTTTTCCCCATCCCAATTTCCCAAGTACCAAGAAAGGAAACATTTTTGTCAATTTCATCAGCTTCAGTACCACCAAGAATGTATCAAATTAGCTAAAAATACTCACCTGTCCTTGTTTCCAACATTCTTTGAAAAGCTTCCAATTATTACTATTTTTATAATCCTTAAGCCATAAAATATGCTTCTCACAGATCCAAGAATGTGGTATATCACTATACAATTTATTGTTTTCATTCACAGCAGGTTTTTTGCTTTCTTTGGGTTCTTCATTAGGCTCTGGTTTTACATTTATCTTGGAGGATTTACTTGGTGGAATTTTGTTTTCAACAACTGAAGCAATGATGTCATCCAGAATGTTGGGCATAGTCCGTCCACTTTTGCCACTCTATTAAGGAAAAAAGATTAACTTTCTAAGAAATTATATTTTGAGAGTAAATGAACTTATTCTTTTCCCATAATCTATTATTTTTTAAAACTGATTTGCCACTAGCACAGAAAGAAAAAAAAGAAAATTACAATATACCTCATTAACAAACATGCAGTTGTATTAGCTGAATAAGGAAACTTTGCTTTTAGAAAATCTATTTACTTCAAAGCCACACACACAGAACAACAGTGGGGAAAGACAGAAAAAGCCAGATATTCCATTACTGATTTACTTCTCAAATGCATACAACAGTCAGGCTGGATTCAGGAAAAACCAATACAGACTTCCCATGTGGGTTGCAGGGACTCAATTACTTGGATCATTATCTCGTATTTCCCAATGGATATTAGCAGGAGGCTAGAATCAGAAGCAAAGCAAGCAGGAGTTGAACCTTTACTAGTATGAGATGTCAGTACAACAGGCAGTAGCTTCACCTGAGGCACCACATCACCAGCCCAACAAATTTGATTTGATTCTTCTTTTTTAAAGATTTGTCCATTTGACAGGCAGAGTTACAGAGGCAGAGACCGATCTTTAATGCTGGATCACTCTCTAAGTGGCCTCAACAATTGGAGCTGAGGTGGTGTGAAGCTAAGAGCCAGGAGCTCCCTCGGGGTCTGCCCAGTGGATAGTGGGGTCCAAGGACTTGAGCCATCCTGTTGCCTTCCCAGGTATATTAGCAGGGAGTGGAATTGGAAGTGCAAAAGCCACATCTCAAACCATATGGAATGCAAGCATTGCAGGCAGCGGCTCAACTTAATATGTCACAATTAAGGCCCCACTGTTTGATTTCAAATGTAATTATTTACTAGTTAGTTCACAGCCAGTAAAGTCAAAATTCACCTACATGTAAGCTGTATATGAAAATAGAAAATCTGCTATCATGCTTACTGCAGTTCCCATTGAATACACTGGAGCAAAGGCAATGCCAGCGTCTGTGGAGCCCACACGTAATTTGCCAGCTGTTGTGGTCAACAAATCCCGCAGAGTTGAACCTTGTTCATTACTCTGAGACACAGGAGATGATGTTCTGCCATTTGGAGAATCAGAGATGTCTTGTTCTCGCCCTTCTTTAATTTGTTTATCAAGGTCAAAATCTTTGTTTTCTGAAGCAAAACATTTCAGAAAATATTAGCAATTAAGCACAGTGCTGAAGTACAAAGAAAACTACCGCCCTACACATTACAGAAGATCAATAGCAATAGTGACTGATTCACCTGAGGACAAACCACAGGATGAGTCAAAGCCTTAAAATGGAGAAATGGTTTAAAAAACATAAAAAGTTTTCTTGATATCTTAACACATGTAGTTGGTGTAGTTGGTTTTGTACCTGTCACAAATACAAAATGCTATAGTAGAAAAAAGTAGAAAATAAAGGCAAGTTACAAATCTAATGCACTGCTCATTTTTATTTAAATGCTCATCAACAAATGATTAACTTTAATGCAGTCATAGGAAGGCAAGTTACTAATGAGCACACAACTGTTTTTATTGGATGTAAATGTCATTCAAGTAAAAAAGACTAATAGTATTTCGTTAAACTATAATCCTCTAGTATGCACTTACGTATCTTGCCATATTTACCTTTTTTTTCTTCCCTGGCTTTTTGTTCTGCAAGATCTGCTAACCAGTGCAGTGGTGACTGGGACTCTGGAGGTGTTAACTTGCTCTCTGTGCTGACGTCACTCCTTGGGCTGCTGTTACCACTAGCCTCAGACTTCTCAGGAATATTCTGCTGCTCAGACTCCGGCACACACAGAGATATTTTACTACTGTGATTAAGAACATTCTGTAAAACCTACAAGGGCCAAACAAGTGAATCTTTTACCATTAGTTCTTCAAGATTCAGAGCGAAAAAGTTATTAGGAATATACACAGTAACATAAAAAATGTAACTCATAAAACACAAGTCCCAAGTTGAATTTCAAGTATCAATGTTTATTAATTTAACCAAAAATTTTATTTGAATAATTAGAAACTTTTACTCACTTGAGATACACCATTCATTGCAGGAAAATTTCCACCTTGTAAATTCTGTTTGTTAGTACAATGACAATGGGATTTAATACCATATTTTTCCCTAAGAATGTGCATGGCATCTAGAAGATCTGTCAAAACTACAAAATAAGATGGGGTAGTACATTAATAAAAGATTATACTAGTTGTTACAACTATACATTTTTTTAAAAAATCTTGTTTCTAAATTAGGAGAGGGTTTCCTTGTACCTTTTAAATTTTCTTTTCCATACTATTTTTTAAAACAATCACAGAACTGATCACCAAATTTGCTTATTTTTCTTTTTGTTGTTAGAAAATCATATTCACAAATGTCATTATAGGCTTTCTCATTACATTCTACTTTATCTCTTTAAAAATAATTCCATGGCCAGTGTAGTAGCAGGACCAGCTAAATCTCAATCTGTGGTGCCAGCATCCCATATGAACGGGATCCCAGCTGCTCCACTTCTCATCTAGTTCCATGCTAACAGCCTGGGAAGGCAGTAGTGAGCCAAACGTCTTGGTCTCTGCACTCATTGAGAGATATGGAGGAATCTCCTGGCTCTCAGCTTTGGACCAGCCCAGCTCTGGCTGTTGGGCCAGCAGGTAGTGCGTTTTCTCTCTCCCTTCTCTTGATCTCTCTGTAAGTCTGCCTTTCAAATAAAAACCAACTAAATAAAATGGTTCCATGATGGCTTGTCTTTCTTCCTTTAACACATATGTAACTTAAAGTAACTAAGCAACACAATTTGATTAGTCAATCTTACCTCAACATTCTGTTAAACTTCCTAGATAATCTGCTCATTTAAGTGTTTCTTTATTATGAAGCAAGTAAGACTTTGTGTACCAAGCAAACAATATGTATTTATACTTACCAGAACCAGGAATAATTTGAGTTGGCATTAGATGTTTATGATCATGAGGCTGTCCCTTCACACACTTCATCCAAGCATATAGTTCTTTATCTGTAAGATAATATACAATGTTTTATATATGTATAAAGCCATATATAGCTTTGCTGTAATCAAATTGACAGTTTAACACATGAAGAATAGTTAAATTAAAATGTTAATGATGGGTTTCAAATATTTGGTTCTTTAAAAAAGTTACACCATTCTATGTTTTATAAAAATAGCTACACAAAGTGGATATAATAACCTTCACTAGTACAATGTCTACAATCCTTTAATGTTTAATCATCTGTATTCTCTCTAAGACTAGCTTCCTTATAGCTACTTTTTTTTTAATCTCTTACGTATTTTCTGTTCCAAGCAGGGTATGTGCCTGCTCATAGAACGCTGACACAAATTAGAGGCTACTACCAAGTTATTTTCCTTTTATACTTCGAAGACATGTAGAGAAACTGTCATGAAGCATGTGCAAGTTATTGCTGCGATTGTTGCCTTCAAACAAGGCTTCATACCTAAACTGTAAACATATTAAACTTTAGTATGAAGCATATTATTCGTAAGAAAAAAGTCAACACGATGGCTTCAGGGAAACTTTATAGATTTAGTGGCATGGACAACTACTTAAGATGCAGCTATAAGGGTTTCAAAATGTATTTGCAAAGCTTAATAAACTCGGTATAGAAAAATTCAAATGTTTCACAAAAACTTTAGATTAAAAAAAATTCTGATTCAGTCTAAAAGTGATTCTCTTAAAGCTCTGATTTTCCTTGCCAAAACCAACAGTTATTTGTAAATGTTTTACAACTACTGACATGAGTTAAATATAAGTTGGACACTTATATTTATTAACAATATCCAAAGTTATGCATTAAATCTATTGTGGGCTTATTACAGTACTTAACAATGAAACAAGATTACATAGGGGTGGGCACTGTGGTGCACATTAAACTGCTGCTTGGGACCCTGCATCCAACATCAGAGTGCAATTTTCAGTTCTGACTACTCTACTCCCAATCCTGCTCTCTTCTAATATGCCTGGAAAACTGCAAGTGATGGTTCAAGGATTTGAGCTCCTGCCACCCATGTGAAGACCTGGATGTAGACATTTGCTCTTGACTTCAACCTTACCCAGCCCCTAATTAGTGAGGACATTAAAGGAGGGGAGGAAATCAAAGATGTGAGATTCTCTCTCTCTCCACTGTTTCCTTTCTTCCCTCCATTATTCTGCCATCCAAATACCCTACAAATAAAATGACTACAAAATAAAACTTAAGGTAAGGCTGCATTTCATAGAATAATAATGTGATTAATATACTTTCAAAATGAATAACATTATGTAATAAATCAAGAAGTAACACAATTATTTTTGTTACCATAAATGTTATATCTTATCTTAAACAAAGCTTCATTGTGGCTTATGCCTATATGCAAGTAATATAACAAAATATAATTAACTTTTAAAATTTGGTAAAGAAAGTAGAATCAGGAAAAAGGAATATAAAATTTTTCATAAAATGTTATAATACAGTTAAATAATAACTGAAATTACCAAAACATTTTTACAGTTTTAAGGATGTCACTTCCTCAAATGCATTTTTTATTATGGTTTGAACATTTTACATAAATACATAGTAACAGGGCCCAGCACGGTGGCCATTAGCTAAAGTCCTCGCCTTGAAAGTGCCAAGATCCCATATGGGCGTCAGTTCTAATCCCGGCGGCCCCGCTTCCCATCCAGCTCTCTGCTTGTGGCCTGGGAAAGCAGTCAAGGATGCCCCAAAGCCTTGGGACCCTGCACCTGTGTGGGAGACCTGGAGGAAGTTACTGGCTCCTGGCTTTGGATCTGCACAGCACCAGCTGCTGTGGCCACTTGGGGAGTGAATCATCAGATGGAAGATCTTCCTCTCTGTATATGTGACTTTGCAATAAAAGTAAAATAAATCTTTAAAAAATTACATAGAAATATTTATGTATGTAGTGCACAGCAACAAAGCTGGGTATACTCAGATAGGATACCACATTTGCTTAGGTCTCTTTCTTAAGCACACTGTATCTCTTAAGCACATTGTATAGTCAGAAAGAGTGAGGTATTAGTTATCTCAGTAGCAAAGGTACTGGTGACTCATTCATGGTTCAACTACCAAGGACCCCCAAATCACCTGGTATAGTACTGGTAATGTGGTTGCAGGTAGGAATAAAAATTCAATACATCAATAGTTGGGCAATTCTTTGTAACTTAAAGATTACATAGATAAGAGGAAAGCATATTCAAGTAAGCCTCTGATAGGGAGAGGCGAGGAATAGAGGAAAGTGGGTGAGATACATGTTTCGATTTTTTTTTAAACTCTTGTGTTGCAGCAGGGAAAGGAGAGGAGAGGAATGTCCTTTGCTGTCAAACTCTATCAACATCTAAGGAAGCAGGCTAATTTTAAACTTATAACTTTGTGGAGCCCAGGGGTAGGCCAGGGTGGTCTACACTGCAGCATCTGCCAGAGAGCTGGGACTAGGAGCAGGCCATGTCAAGCTGGGCCGCAGTACCCACTTGCAAGTCTAACACCTAGGGTTGGGAGTGGGCCTCATAGGCAGAAATCTAGGGACTCTCCTACTGGGCTCCCAATGGTGGGTACAAGAACTGGGGTTGGGGACAAATTGGATAAAACAAGTCTGTGGCACCCCTCAGCATGCGTGTGGGACAGGTATGGAGATAGACTGTGTTGGGATAGTCCATAGCTGGAGCACTGGAAAGCAAGGATGGGGTGTGTGCTCAGCCAGGCTAGGCTGTAGCACCTGCCAGCATGTACAAAAACTGGGGCTGGGCATGGATCTGGAGGGTTATTTGGGACTGCCCTAAGTAGCAGCACCTGCTGGTCAGGCCTGAGGTGGGATAAGCTGAGGGATCCTGGCTGTAGCATCTGCTAGTTGGTGTGAAAGATTGGGTTGGAAGTAGAACTGAGTAGGCAGCTGCATCCACTGGTACATGTGTTGGTTCGTGCAGGGAATGGAACAAACCTGACCCTAAACCAGCTGGTGTACACAAAAGTCTGAGGTCACCCCAGCAGAAGTTTCCTGGGGGAATTCCCAGCTAGACCACTAGACTTAAACCCGATCCTCACGGAAAACCACAAGATACATGTGGTTTGACCTTGGAGTGCATGCATCAGGACTGGGCCTCTTCAGTTGCTGATGCTCATGTAATGAAGCACACACCCAAAAGCACATGAAAAGACATGACAACTGGATCATCTGGGCCTGTAGAGAACATTGAGTGATTCACCAGAGGATGGAAAACAGAACAAGTTGGAAAACTCTCCTAAGTTTTCCAGAAAGTGTCTGAGGCAGTGGATACACTAAAGCAAACCTAAGTCAGCCAACAGACCTCGACATTGTCTACCCTGGTGCAATAAGATCAACAATGCCTCAGAACTATGAAAACCACTAAAGTAACACCCTTGGAATATTTCCCCACATTAGCGCATCTAAGCTGTTATCAGAAGACCGCTCCCCATCCCTGGGTGCAGATACATGTTTACAGCAAGGAAGTGGTCCCTTCTTAACCCCTGAGGGAACAAAAAACTGAAACACTTAACTCACTTACTTTCTTCTACTCCCTGATCCTCCCCACCCTAATCAGAAGCTCACATAGGTGTGCATCCCTCTGAGCTAGGTAACCATTACTAAAACTAAAAAAATAAAAAATTTTGAGGAGTTCACAAATGCAGCTATAAAAATATTCCAACTCATAGGAAAAAATTCCCCACCCCTGAACCTAAATACTGTTTTGAAAAACACAGTCTAATTAAAATGACATTTATTGTTGTGAAGCATTAAATGGTTTATCATTAAGTATTTGTCATGGTTTTAGAATTTATTTACATATTTAAGGGCAGAGGGAAAAAGAAAGAGAGTATGCAAACTCCTATCCAGTAGCTTAGTTCCAAATGCCTGCTTTGGCAGGACCAGGATGAAGTCAGGTACAGGGAGCTCAACCTGAGTTGATAGTAGGAACCCAACAACTGGAATTCTCACTAAGCTGAACATACCCTGCATCAGCAGAAGCTGTAACGAGGAGCCAAGGCAAATCTCAGCCCTGATGAATGTAGGCTCTCTAAAGGGGGACACAGGGGACTTTAACTAATGAACCAAATGGATGCCCCAATATTTACTCAAAATGACAACATGATTCATATCCTACGCATTTTATTAGAACATAACCCTCAACAAATAAGCTTCAGCATTGGACATTTCCAATACTGTCCTAAATTTTGTTGAAATACTTCTGACACACACTTAACTACTTCCTTTATAAAATGTATTATATTTAGCAGAAATTAAAAAAAAGGTGGAGGACATTTTCGGTACTACTTTCCCTAAATATTGAAAATGATAGTTCTAAGGACCAATGCTGCAGTCAAGCTATTGCCTGTAAGGCTGGTATCCCATGTAGAAGCTAGTTTGTGTGCTGGCTGCTCCACTTATGATCCAGCTCCCTGCTAATACTCTGGGAAAACGGAAGATGCCAAAGGTGCGTGGACACCTATTCCCACATAGAAGACCACAATGGGGCCCCTGATTTTCATCTGAACCTGTAGCAGCTATCTGGTGAATGAACTACTGTATGAAAGACATTTTTAAAAAATTTTTATTGAAAAGTCAAATATACAGAGAGGAGGAGAGACAGAGAGGAAGATGGAAATCTGCTGGTTCACTCCCTAAGGGGCCACAATGGCCAGGGCTAAGCAGATCTGAAGCCAGGAGCTTTTTCCAGGTCTCCCATGCAGGTGCAAGGTGCAAGGCTTTGGGTTGTCCTGCTTTCCCATTCCACATTCAGGGAGCTGGATAGGGAGTGGGGCTCCAGGGATTAGAACCGGCGCCCACATGAGATTCAAGTGCATGTAAGGTGAGGACATTAGCCACTAGGCTACTGTGCTGAGCCCAGAATTGTTTCTCCTTCCTTCAAATAAATGAATGAATGAATAATAAATAAATGATCTTTTAAAATAAGTATGTGTTGAGAACAGCTCCAAAGATACAAAAATTTTCTCCTCATAAACAATGAGCTCTGAGGGATAAACATTGACAGAGGCAGAATATTCCTGATGGCTTTTACTTCACCTTTACTGATGGATATTTAGAAAAATCAGTTCATACTAGATGAAATATTCAAATGTGGCTTATGTTTATGACTTGAATGAACAGGTTTATGGTGCTGGTAGCCCTGACAGATGCCAGTTTGAGTCCTGGCTGCTCCATTTTTGTTCCACCTCCCTGTGTTGAGACTGTGGAACTAAAGAGCTACCTAAGTAGTAATAAAGTGTTCTGAATGGTAGATGAATCAAGAAAATAGTATGTTATGCAGTAGGCAAATAGTACTATGGTAGTAATAAATAGTATCAGGGAGTAGTATTAAGAAACAGATTAAGGTCAAGGGATAGCATTAAATAAGTAACTTAGTAATAAAGTAATCAAAACAAACATGTAGGTGTTAAGAGATAGCAATTAGTAAAGGATTGTGTAAGTAATGGCAATTAGAACATAGGATAAATAATGTTAGAATAATGCTGACTGATAAATTGTTAAACTGATTGTTAAGTTTGGCTTCTGTAATGAGAGCTTCCCTTCCCTTGCTACAACAAGGGGAACCAAGGTAAAGCCACGACAGGCCTCAGACAGGCTAGGTCCAAGTTTCAGTTCCTAGAATTGAGGTACCAGTAGATGGAAGATTGAACCTTCTGTTTCCTTCTCTATGTAACTCTGCCTTTCAAATACAAGTAAAATAAGTTGGGCCCAGTGTGATAGCCTATGGATAAATCCTTGCCTTGTATCTGCTGGGATTCCACGTGGGCGCCATTTTGTACCCTGGCTGCTCCACCTTCCATCCAGCTCCCTGCTGGTGGCCAGGAAAAGCAGTTGAAAACGGCCCAAAGTTGGTTTTAATTCTGCTCCGAAATATAGTTTCCTGTTAATATATACCCTGGATGCCACAAGTGCTGGTTCGGGTGTTTGGATCTTTGTCAACTCCAAGGGACACCTGGGTTGAATTCCTGGCTCCTGGCTCAGCCCAACATTTTTGAGCATTTGGGAGTGAGCCAGAGGATGAGAAAATCTCTTTCTGTGCCTTTCAAATAAATCAGTAAAAACCTAAATGCGGACTATACTGAGAACCTATCTGCCTGATATGGAAAGGTATCTGGCAATCATCAGGTTAAAAGTTACAGATGAAGGTAAATTTCAGAAAATCTACCAACTAAATTTTGATTACTCTTTCTTTCTCTTAAAAACAAACTTTAGGGCCCTATGTGGTAGCCTAGTGGCTAAAGTCCTCGCCTTGCATGCACCAGTTCTAATCCTGGCAGCCCTACTTCCCAACCAGCTCCCTGATTGTGGCATGGGAAAGCAGTCAATGATTGCCCAAAGCCTTGGGACCCTGCACTAGCACGTGGGAGACCTGGAAAAATTTTCTGGCTTAGGATCTACTCTACTCGGCTGTTGCAGCCACCTGTGGAGTGAATCAGCAGAAGGAAGATCTCTCTCTCTCTCTCTCTCTCTCCTTCTCTCTGGAAATCTCCCTTTCCAATAAAAGTAAACAAATCTTAAAAAACAAACAAAAACACTACAAACTTTACGGGAGAATATGATATAGTCCCATCACTCGAGACACCTGCATTGCGTACCAGAGCCAGGGTGGATCCTCACCCCTTTGCTTCCAATCTAACTTCCTGCTGCCCTGCAGCCTGAGAGATAGCAGATGATGGCTGTACTTGAGAACCTGTCACCCATGCTGAATTCCTGAACTGTGTTCTAGACTCCTGATTCTGACTTGGTCTTGCCTTTACTATTTAACAGGGAACTTATTCAGTCAATGAAAAATGTGTCTCTATGCTGTCAAAAAAAATCAAAATAACAAAATTGTATGTAATATATTTATATTTACATGGGCTGGTACTGTAGCACAGCACATTAACACACCATTTTCACTACTGGCATCCCACAGCACTGGCCCAAATACCAATCCAGCTCCTTCCTAATTTGTTTGGGAAAGCAGAGGAAGATGGCTCAACAACTTGGACCACTGCTACCTCCATGGAGACCCAGCCCTAGCTGCTGCAATCACTTGAGTAGTAAAACAATGGATGGAAGATCTCTCATTTTCTGTAACTCTTTGACTTTCAAATATATAATAAACATACAAATCTTAAAACAAACCTCTAGAACTCTTCCTCTCTTTGGCCTTGTAACAATCCAAGCAAACCACAAATCCACATTTTTGGCAAACCCAATGAATGTTAAACAATGTTGCTTCACATGCATCACACATCTCCCGGACTCCTCTCACTGCTCTTTTCCAGGCAATTTTTGCTGAAATGCAGAGAAAACAGTAACGGAAAGGAAAATACATGTTCCGCCATGCATTTAAAATGGCCTACATTTACAACAGGATTTCTCAAGCTTGGCACTTTTAACATTTTTGGGCTGAACAATTCTTTCTTTCAAGAGGTAATACTTATGCACTGCAGTACGTCTTCTGACATCTTTGGTCTTCACCAACTGTACATAGCAGCACATAACCATAAAAATGTTTACTGTCAATACCAAATGTTCTCTGGATTTAAACTACTGATTTTAGGGAAGGGAAGGAAAAGCAGTTAATATTTAGAGCAGCTATATACTTAGGTAATATCAGTGCCTTACATGAGCAAATAAAATTAACAGTTACTTTCCAACAAACCTATGAAACTTATCTTCCCTACATAACAGACCTAATATTCAGAGATTTATAAAAGTTTGTATAGTTAATATGAAGAGTAACCTTAAGAGTCAAATACAAGCAAATGAGACTGAATCTCCTTGCATAGTAAATGATAAGATTCACACAGTTGCACCCCAAACAATCTTATAATTATGGTTGATGTTTTAATGGCAAAACAGTATCATGATATCATAAAAGTTTAATCCACTAACTTCAACCTCAAAAGAAATATTAATAAGCTCAAGCATAGTTGCATTTGTACACAAAAAGATACCATTATTACAATTAAAAATCAAGACTAGGTAAGAACTGGGATTTCTTCCACAAATTAAACATACTTCAAAAGAAAATTTCTTAAAATAAAATTTGTAAAATGTATGTTTTATTTCCTTACCATCCTTCTTCACCCAGGACAAAGCTGTTTTTTCAGATGTTACTAACTGACAGAACTTATCACCTATTATATCCAAGATATACTTAGAAGTTTCCAAGTCTAGTTCATCGTCTTCATAATTTTCATGTGTCCATAAACTCATAGCTTCATCATCATATTGGTCAGGAGAAGAAAAACCATCTATTCTAACCACTCCATTTTTACTAAATGACAATCTGAAACATTAAAACATAAAAGCAGTAGATTTAAGTTATTATGAATCACAGAATCATTTTTAAAAACTTAAATGGGGTAGTTCCCACATATTTTAATTATTTTGTAAGAGTCTCATAGATGCAATACAAATAATTAGCACTAACTTGGGGTTATTTCAAGAGTTTCCAATTATTTAATCATTGAAATGCAATCAAATGAAAAAAAATGTCTAAACATTTGATGAGCAAAAAGAATAAAAATGTGGTACCAGTATAATTCAGAGAATGATATTTTTATGTAACTTAAAGGCAGGAATTATTAATGTTGAAAATGAACTAAACCATTTTAGGATTTTTACTGGTAGGCTTAAAATAATGAGACACTTTCATTAATTAAAATACTTCATTCAAGTGATATAGACAAACAAGAATGAAGCACCTGTTTATTAAATCCATTTAATGTGCTCACACTCAGCTTCAGAGAACGCTAGGGCAAATGGGAGGCAGGACCTCCCTCATCCACTCACTGCTGGTTATTTTCCAACCAACTCATATTTACTGTCTTTACTCTCAGGGAATGTTTGATATTCCTCATAAAAAATAGTGCACTTTTTTTCTAACTTATTTTATCCCCATTTATATTTTTATCATTTCCCTTTTCTATTTAAACTGTTTTTGTCCTTTTACTATAACATTTTGTTACAATCTTACTTGTGTTATCTTTATGTAAACTTTTCTTTCCTTCAAATTTTACCTATACTTCCTTAAATCAATTTTTCTTTTGCATCCATCCTTTTTAAATTCATTTTACATGCTTTTAACTATTTATTTCTATAACTGTTCTCTGAAGTCCACAAAGACTATGACAAGGAAGAAATAAAGAACTTGGTCTGTTCTACCAATACTAATTTTTTGAAGGTCATTCCTGGGCCACTAATATGGTATATTTACTAGAATAAAATGTCTCAACTTCTTTTAAAGATGAAATTAATTAAAGTGTTTAATATAATATGTATAGCTGCACATTAAGGACTATACATATGACATTCTGTCCTTTAGCACTCAAAGTATATGCATGAGACAAGTTTAGCTGTAGCTTAACCAGGAACGAATCAACAGAGATGGATTAAAAACTAGAAGCAACATATAAATTATGCTCTACTGAGCATTTGGCTCAACTATTTTTTAAGAAGGATTTATTTTTATTTAAAAGGCAGATTTACAGAGAGAATTGGAGACAAGACAGAGATCTTCCATCCATGGGTTCACTTCCCAAGTGGTCACAACAGCTACAGCCAAGATGATCCAAAGCCAGGAGTTCCTTCTGGGTCTCCCACCTGCGTACAGGGATCAGGGGCTTGAGCCATGCTCCAGTTTTTTCAGTCCCTAAGCAAGAAGCTGTACTGGAAGTAAACCACCTGGACAGGAATTGGTGTCCACACATGTTGCTGGCAAGTGGAGGATTAGCCTATTGAGCCACCATGCCAGGCCTCCAATTATCTTTTTAAGATTATTCATTTAATTTGAAAGGTGGGGTTGTGGAGAGGAGAGACAGACACATACACACAAAGTGGTTCAGTTCCCAAATGCCTGCCAACAGCCAGGGCTGGGCCACCTGGAAGTCAGGAACTCTATTTGGGGCACCCATGTAGATGGTAGCAACTAAAGTACTTAAGCAATCACTTGCTAGCTTTCAAGGTACATCAGGAACGAAATGGATGGGAAGTATAGTAGTCAGGACATGAATGGCACTCCTTAATGGAATATGGTTCCCAAAGCAACGGCTTTCTAAAAGTACTAAGTAATACTAATAATAGTAATATTAGGTAATAATTTTAAGTGGCTTTATACAAATCTTAAAAATGCTTAAATAAAAAACTACATGGTGGAACAGGTGCTGTGGCATAGCTGCTAAAGCCATTCCCTGCAGTGCCAGCATTTCATATGTCCTGGCTGCTTCACTTCCAAGCCAGCTCCCTGAGAAAGCAGTAGAAGCCGGCCCAAGTGCTTGGGTGCCTGCCACCTATGTGAACCAGATGATGAAGTATCAGACTCCTGGATTTGGCTTAGTCCAGTTCTGGCCACTGAGGTCATTTGGGGGAGTGAATCAAAAGACCAGAGGCTTCTCTTGCTCTTTACTTACTCCTCTGTAATTCTGCCTTTCCAACAAGTAAGTTAAATTAAAATACTGTTTCCCATTATTTTTGATTAAAAAAAGTGTAAACATTTTCTCATTAAAAAAAATTCTTTCAAAAGAATGGTCATATGGGATATGTAACAATTCTACAGTTACTGTTAAAACTTAGCATTAAAGTGTTTAATATTCTTCCTTAACATGGAAACTCACTTCCACATCTACAATGGACTCAGAATAGTACAATTTCTAAAAATAAAAATATCCTCCCAATTTCACTTACCGTCTAAAGTAATAAAATCTACAAAATACTGGCGAATGAGCCGGTTCTTCTCCTTTTTTACTACGTATAAGTCTACATTCTCGGCACTTTTGTAAATTAGGCCCTATCTCACAGCAGGAGTCATCCTGTAAAAAGGATTCCCCAGTTTGCTTCAACTTCTTGACTTTTCGCCAATCTTTTAAAACCGAACGAGGGATGCCAGCTGTAAAATGAGTAGCAAACTATTAGGGTGGGATTATGTTTTGCAGAAAGGCACATTCCTTGAGATGAAATTCAAGTCAACTGTACAACTGTCATGCTATGGTAAAGACTGCAGGAAAAAAAAGCAAAGATAGTTTATATGTATATGAATTAAGTAAAAGTTCACAGCATACTATGTTTTACTGGCAGATTATTTCTACTAACCAAAGAAACCAGATTCTTGCATCAGTATACTGAAAAGGCAAAGCAAAGCAAATTTTGCAGCTGACTACACTCTTTAACAAATGTACATAGTAAACAATCACTAAAAATAGAATTCTATAAATTTATCTGTGCCTTATTATAGTACCCCACATTTGATATCAACATATTAATGGCAGCAATAACATTCAGAAAAACAGAAGAGTATTGCAGTGAAAGGAAAGAAATTAACATGATTGTATTTGTTGAACTCAAATGCATTATACAGTCAAGTATTTGTAGAAAACAATTTTTTTTTACCATACTTTACAATGTTGCTCCATCACATTTATTAACTTGACCTTTACAAGTTTAAGAACATTGGTTTAAGTCGTCTTACAGCAGGAGGAATCTTTAGACCAAAAGGAGCTTAAAAAAATTATACATAAGCTTGAACTATTCACATATATGTCAAAGATCAAGCTATGCTAGGACTAGTAATTTTTTTTTCTCTAAAGTGGATTTTTCCTGCCCATATTAATAAATTTGTCTATACGGTAGATTTAGTTTATCATTTTTGTCATACTGAAAAAATGAATAGCATTCTCCAACCCTTAAGCTTTCTAACCAGGCCCATTTTGTAATTCGCAGAAATATTCTAAGAATAGGTACTCACACAGACTTTCAGCAGAATTCCTGTTCAGAGTTCTAGTACATATGTATTGATAACATAGAAATATAATGACAGAAAAATCACCTATGTTAAAACAGGAATTAGCAAAAGGTAGAGTGGTCCAATTAAACCAGGTCCACTTACTAAGCACCTCCAGAAATGCTTTCCCTTTAATCTTTATGGCAAGAAGCTATGGGATCATAAATCCACTAGAGAAGCACTACGCATGTATACACAGATAAGTGAACACACCTCGCTTACGTCATTATAATATATTTTTAATAGACTTGTTTAAAAGAGTTGTTATTTTCTCCACTATATGACAACTTTTTCCTAGGAACTTCATAGAGCTTTTACAGTCACAAGAATAAACAATAGAACAATTACAATGCTGACCAATTTTTATTCAGCAAATTTTCTTCTAATCATTTACTTTTTAATGCTGCTACAAATAAACTAAATGCGATGTACTTGTATTTTGAATACAAAAATAATTTTAACCCAAATATGCTTTTAATGCAAGATAATGGAACATGTTCAAAGTACGGTTCACTATGTATTGTGAACAGTTTAAACAGTGTAATAAAGAGCCAGATATTGCAAAGAAAATACTAGCGGTATGATACAAAATAGGCACTTGGAACTTTTTCTTGTAAAAAAAAAAACCTGAATAAATCACAGAACCATCTATATAATGTTTTCATATAATTTTCACTTCTAGACTAGGCCACACAGGACCATAGCTAAACGCTTTTATGAATATAACTATATATGTATTTACACAACAAAACTGGTAATATCTAAAACTTAAAATTTGGAGATGAAGACATTTAGTCAATAGAAAATACCTAAATCAGTGGGTATTTCTGCTTCTTTTACAGAATAAACTTTTCAACCTGAGTAGCAAATCTACACAGCTGCTCTATCAATAGTAAATAGGAAGAAAAAGAATTAAAAGACAAATATATGCCACCTTCAAATTATACAACATCTCTTTAAAAGTTTTCTTTTGGAGAAACAAAAATTAACTAATTATACTTCTGAATAATATAGGACTTGCAGATATATAAATTTGGTGAGTTATTTCAGAGCACAAATACAACTATATAAAAATTAGTCACAGAAAAGCACCCAACTTTTTAATTAAACAAACAAACAAAATATATATATATATATACACACACACATATATATGTATTTGAGGAAAAAGTAGATATAAAAGAAATCTATTAAATCTGGCTTTAGAATGGAAAAAGAATCATACTATTATATGCATATGTAAATAAAACATATAATTAAATATATCAAGCACCAAGTAGTGGCCTAACTCCCTTTTTTTGGCTAAACATGAATCACAACAATCCTACTCAACATTAGAAGAAAAAAAGACATATTTGATTGACAAAATAAATTATCCACTAAGGCTCAGAAGCTCCTTAAATTAGGAAAGCTAACAAAATAAAGAACTTTGCTTGGCAGCTCAGAACAAAGGAAGTTAACTTTGCTCATAATCAACAAAAAGCATTTAACACATAATAATTCTTCAGATTTGGCCAACAAATGGGATTTAAATAGCTTCTCCTAAGTTAAATATTAGTTACCAAGCAGGGAAGATTTGACTCATGAGGAAAAAGGAACTAATCCCAGCCTCATCTTAAAACGCTTAGTTAGGATAATGAATAAATAAAAACCAAAACCAAAAAAAATCCTCTTACTTAGGACATATATTCAATTCAGAACATGCACTATTCACTGAGTTAATTTTATCAGCAAACATAACTTTACAAAAACTTCCCAAGTGTTAAAAGCTAGAAGATTTGTATCTTTGTTTTAAGGTTATACTTGAGTATTTAAATACCCAACACCAAAAGAAATGTTATGAGATAAAAGACAATTTTTTGCCACACTAAGTCTCTTAATGAATTCACAGGGCAAGTAAGAACATATAAGAAAGAGCAACACTGCATGCATAATGCGATATTCAAATATATGGAAGGTATCCTTCGAAGTCAAACTCCCTCTCTGTCTTTGACTATACTTGCATTTCAGTTTGTCAGTCTCTCTGTCTCTAGTTGATCTTGTCCTTCATTCTTTCACTTTCTGACTGTCCTTTTCTATGTTCCATCCTGTTTTTCTCTCCTTCAGTTTGCTCTGGTTTCCACACACGCACATAGAAAAACCTCATTCAGGGAAAAGGCACAAATAAGAGAGTTCAAGCATTCAAAAGCTTGTAAAGTACTTCCTCGAGTGTCCACATTGTCACAGATATTTCAAATACGGTATATGGATGAGAAAACGGATATAGTGAAACTATTAAGTGTTTTCTGCATTGTGCAACATACCTAAAAAGAAATAAGCAAACTGAGAAAAAAAACTACTTCTAGAATAAAAATATAAACACTTTATAGTGAATATTACTAGTTAAGTACCAATTATTCTGTTAATATGTAGCCATTAAGGAATTTTTTTTGTTGTTTTACATGTCAAAGCTTTTTATTTATTATGGACACTCTAAAGACTAGGTTCCCTGTTTCCTAGAACATGGAAATCAATGTAAGAACCTCCCTCCCCTTTATCCTCTACCCACTGTTAAAGACTTACTAAGCAGCATTATTAAATAGTTGATCATGTAATCATTTCAATAGGTTTATAATTTTGTCATCTGGCTAAGAGTTGAGACACAGGCTTCATAATACTACTTTGAGATCATTTTATAGCAATATGCATTAAATAAGATACTGAGAATAGAATTTCCCTCCCAGTTTAATGTGGTTATAAAAAAGTATTTTAGCAAATACTTTTGTGACAGCTATAATTGCATTTTTACAATTCTTAGAAATGGTTAAAATTACGAATAACCCCTACATTACTCAAAGGGTTACACATTACTACAGATCTCTTAAACATGAAAGGTAAAAGGTTTTTTTCTCATTTCATACTACAGGTATGAAATACAGAAATGTGGTTAACCAATACACACAAATCTTCAGAGAACCATGTCATTATTCTAGAAAATTTAGCTCATTCTATCAGAAATAAACCTAATTCACTCACCACTGTTACTGTTGTTCTGTAATTTCAGTTTGCTTTTTTCTTTGGCACTCCTACTGAGAACTCCATTGGGTTTCAAGTCCTCCTCCATCTCACCCTTTCTCTTCTGTAAATCGTTCTGCTTCTTCTTATAAGTTGGCTTAGGTTGACGCTTAGTCCTTTGCTCAGATTTGCTTTCACTTTCATCTGAGTCTCCACTCTCAGAGCCAGATTCATAAGTTCTTTTGGCTTTTCTCCTATTTACTTTGTCATCTTTCACATACTTATCAACTATAACTTTACTATCTAAGCTATTTTGTATATCATTAGATGTAGAGGCTATTAAGTTGACTGAACATGGCTTAATAATTTCTGATACAGAATTCCCTGAACTTTCCATTTTATTAGTATTTTTATCTTCTTCTGAATGTCTAGTGAGCCAAGCCTTTTTCAGCTTAGTATGGTAGTTTGGTTGACTTGTCTGGGATGCTTGCCCATTTCCTGCAGAGCTTGCTTTGTTAACTGTACTACAGATTACAGTACTATCCAGGGAAACAGAGTGTGATGATGTCTGATTTTTCACATTAGGTTCAGTCTCACTGACATTACTACTTTTATACTGAGCTGCAGCCAATGCTGCCTTGTGCTTTTTTAAATGGATAAAATCAGTTGTGCCTGAGAATCCAGAACTTGACTGAACAGCACTTCCTGTCTTACCGCTAATCAGTGGAACAGGAGCTGTAGTGTTGACCTTGCACTCTTGTGATGGTGCCACTGGCTGGCTAACACTTTTTGAAGTGTTACATTCTAATGATGTAGGAACCAAAATGGTATTTGATAAAGAGTAAATGACTTCTGAGCCACCCCCCAAGCTGGAAGCACTTGTGGTAGTGGCTGAAGATGTGAGCATCTCCGTTTTCGTGTTACACAATGTATTTACAGCAGACATGACTGAACTGGAGACACTGCTCTGGGAGACTTGAAAGTTTTTTTCAGATTTTATTTGAGTACTGTCTGAATTCACACTTGGCAGAATGATTCTTCCAGTCTGTCCAGCTTCTGCTGATTTGAAGCAATCTGTTTTATTTGCTCCAGTTGAGGATTTTTCACTAACTCTGTCTTTAGAAGCTAACTGCACTGCTGGCACGCTATCCATTTTTATACTAGACGGTGGACGCACAATGACAGATGCCATAGCAGCATGTGACTTTCCACTGCTTTTTTCCACATGCCAGTCAGCTTTCTCTTTGCTTAGGTTATTATTAGATCTCCACATTTCTGTCGAACTCTGGTCAGAAGAACTCTTAAAATTAGCCTGACAGTCTTTTGGCTCAGGAATTAAGGTTGGAGGCTTTTGTGATTCTTGAACTTTCACACCAGCATTTACCGGCATCACTGGAGTTAAAGTTGGAGGGGAAAGGCTACTATAACTGGTTTCTTTTCTTTCTAAACTGTGGTGGATTGGTGGGTGAAACACTGGTGCTCTATGTAAGGCAGGCATACTGCGGAGTGTATTTGTAGAAGAAACTGTCAAATGCGTAGGACTTCGGCAATCATTCCTGAAGGTTGTTACTGAGTGAGATGCAACTTGGTGGGGAAGATGGTCAGGTATCTTACCTACCATATTTTCATTTTCTGGCTGGTGTTTAATCAAAGGTGGAGGCTTTGAAAGAGATGACATAAATGAAGTCAGAGTTTGAGGATTAGATGTTGCTGCATGAGTATTACTCTGTTTATCAGCATAAATATTGGAAACTTCTTTGGATGGGTATGATCTTGGTGGTTCATTTACCACACTATTAGACAATGTAGTAAAATAGTTACTTTGGGGCAAACTTTGGGGCACTGAGTGCTTCATTTTGTACAGATCTGATACTGAGCGCTCCACATCTTTATCCTGCTTGATGACATGGCTTTTAGGACTAGAAGATGATGATGACACTACTCTGGAAAAATTATCTCGGTCATTCTCGAGTCCCTTGATTTTGCTTGTAAAGGGAGCAACATCAATACTTTCTTGAAGAATTCGACGGTGTTCTTCTTTGTACTTGTTTAATCTCTCTCCAGTTTCCGGGGTTGGCCTTTGTAATTGATTTAATACTGGATCCACAAAATGCCTATGCAAATGACAATCTTTTCCAGTCTGTGACCTACTTAGATCCAAGTCATTTTTTGCTGAAGTGGATGCAACGGACCGTAACGGTTCCATGAAAGCCTTCCTCTCCAGTTCTCTGCAAAAAAGAGAAAAAAAAAAGCATACAAAGATTCCTGAAGCCACTTTTTCTTCTAAGATACTTTCTATGCAGCATCATCTTGTTATAAAACACATCTTTGCAAGCACATTATTATTTGGGGCAAGGGAATTATATACATTATTATCATCATCATCAAATAAATCAGATAGTATATCAATATACAGAAAATTGGTAGTTTTTTAAACTCTAGGTTTTTTTCTTTTTTTTAAAGATTTATTTTTATTATGTTTTTATTGAAAAGGCGGATATACAGAGAGGAGAGACAGAGAGGAAGATCTTCTGTCTGATTATTTACTCCCCAAGTGAGCGCAACGGGCCGATGCTATGCTGATCCGAAGCCAGGAGCCTCTTCCGGGTCTCCCGCGCGGGTGCAGGGTCCCAAAGCTTTGGGCCGTCCTCGACTGCTTTCCCAGGCCACAGGCAGGGAGCTGGAAGGGAAGTGGGGCTGCTGGGATAGAACCGGCGCCCATATGGGATCCCGGGGCGTGCAAGGCGAGGACCTTAACCACTGCACCACCGTGCCGGGCCCAGGTTTTTCTCTTTTTAAAGTTTATTTATCTGAGAGTAAAGTTGGGGAGGCAGAGGAGAGCCAGAGATCTTCCAATTGTGGGTTTACTCCACAAACACCAGCAAAAGTTTGGGCTGGGCAAGATGAACCCAGGAGCCAGAAGTCATCTAGGGCTCTCTCACTGATGGCAGGGACTGAAGTACTTCGGCCATCACCTGCTGCCTTCTAGGACACTTCTAGGACATACATCAGCAGAAAGCTGAACTGGAAGCAGAGGAGCGACTTGATCCTAACCACTCTGATAAGGAATGCAGACATCCCAAGAAGCAGCTTAATGTGCTGTATGTCAACATCAGTCCCCAAGACCTAGTTTTGAGACATCATAGCTGTTAAAAACTAAATTATTTTAAGCATTGGTGAACTTACTCTTTATGATGATCTACTAAAGTCTTTGTCAATGGTGGACTGGAATGTGCTGTGAGTTTAAGAGGCCGATGAGGCTCTGCACTGGAAGGTCTCACAGGAATGTGACTAAGTAATCCAATACCATCCGCTGAGGTTACAGGGGTGGGTTGGTGTAACCAAGGACTGGGTGAATTCTTTAAAGAAAAAATTAGAGCTTAATTACTATAAAAAGTTAAACAATATCATGAAACACCAATACTGTATTCAGAAAAATATTAAAGTTTTCAGAAATAGATCAAGAAATACCCTAATATGTAACCAGTATATTTATGTGAGATTTTTCCATTCTATATAGAAAATCCATTAGTATTAAAACAGTAATTTTCAGAAATATACTGTTATTAAAAGCAAATCTTAATAGTTTAACATTCAATAATTGATACATAAAGAACATGATTTTGAATGATGTAAAGAAATATGTGTTAATAGTGAAGACAGAACGTTATTTCTAAAGTTTCACAAAAATAAATTATAATCACATTCACTTGCCAATTTATTGTAATAATTTACTTAAAATTTTCAAAACTCAAATATATTCCAGTTTACTATGATTGTTCAACCATAATTTGTGGGCGTGCGTGGTCTAACAGTTACTTTTGTGTATCAATGTTACTTTCCTCATACTTGAATAGATGGTAACAGTGACCCCTATGTTGAGGCATACATTTAGTCACTAACTTAAGAATTGTTTCTATACCATTATTGACATTTATTTGAGTTTTGTAAATTTATCAGCAGGAAGCTGATTTAATACCAAGGAACTTCCTTTGGTTGTTAACTAACATTATAAATACGGAATTGATAAGGGAAAGGCAGTAGAATTCATCTGGTTGAAGATACAATGCTGTAAAATCACTTAAATTAAAGACAAATGCTATGACCATAATCCCATTAAATAGAAAAGTGCAATGATACTTCATAAAGCTTGTGGAAAAATATAATTACAACACAGATTAACTTTGGTGCACAAAACCTGAAATCCACAGTTTTATAATATATATTTCTCAAAACTCTTAAGACCCACTGTATGCGTGAATTCCAAAATTTTTTCACCAAAACAAATCTACCTTTTAGTTTAATTTTTCATGAACTTTTGGAAGCATAGCTTAAGACTCCTGACCACACTATGTCATTATTGTTACTCAAAATTAAATGGCTCCTCTAACAAAACTGTGGTATGATCAGTACCATCTTTGTTTTTATGAATGGCACATGTAAGTAGCATTAATTGCAAAATAACTAATGAAATAATTAACATTGTCATTGCAATGGCACCCCAAGAAATCTACTCTGGTTCTGGCCCACTTTGAGTTTTCCAAAAATGATGGTATTAAGAAGTTGTTAAAACAAAACAGACTCCAAATTACCCATGCCTTTTGCAGTACTGTTCTCAAAGGCAAGAAGTGGAAGCAATCAAGATTTCTTTCAACAGATAAATGAACAAACAAAACGCAGCATATACACAGAATGTAATATTATACAGACTTAAGTTAAAAAGTCTTGTCACATACAACGATTTTAATGAGTCTCAAAGACATTATGCTAAACAAAAATAAAATAAAAGACAAACGTCATCTGACTGTATTCGTATGAAGTGTCTAACCTTGTCAAGAATTTGAAATAATTGCCAAGGCTAGAGGAAGCGAAATTTGTGCTTAATGGGTAGACACAGTTTTATTTCTACCAATGAAAAACTACTAGAGATCTACTGTACAACAGTATGGACATACTTAATAGCACTGAACTGTGCACATTCTAAAGGCTGAGATGGTAAACTTTATGCTTTTTATAAACCACAGAGATTTGGGAAAATACATGAAAAGCACCCTGGACTATACAGAGTTTATCTGAGTTTAACATTCACATCTATTCCTGTATTTATAACTGAATGCTGTTAATCACTTCTTATACACTTGCTCAAGAAACCACATAGCCAGGGAACATATGAATCCTACAGATTGTCAACTTCACTAATACTTGTTAGGGAAACAGAATCTTAGCTCTAACTTTCCCAAATACTGGAACTCTCCAACCTGAAAGGCCAAGTGCCCTTAAAAACAAGTGACTTGCAATATATATACCATTACTTCAGGGTATTCAAGTGGGAAATAAAAAAAAAAATGTTTAGGGATAATTTGGTAACATGTATCAAAAGCTTTATAATTATATATAAATTCTAATTCAGGAATTTTATTTTGAGGAACTTCCTCTGGGCAAAACACAATTATATATAATAAATCTAAATCTATAAATAAATACTACAATTTAAGTTTTACTTCAAGTTTATTTCTTAAAAATAGGTTTTTCTGACATTTTCACTTCGAGAGTTCTGAGGGTACTAAACATCTGAAAAGATAATTTTTGCTTAGAAAATTCTAATGCATTTTTGTAAGAGGAAATGACCTTAAAAATGATACTGAAACAGCATTTGGTATGGTATTACTTACCCTCCTCAAAGAAGCTTCAGCATTAACTGCATTTTCTGGGTGAACCCATTTTGAAGAAGGTAAACTAAGTCCTGAGTAAGCATGTGTACCATTTGGATACTGCCATATAATTGGGTAAAGTCCAAGCTGATTATATGAAGCAGAAGGATGGGCTTGTCCAAGAAGATGAGGGGACTGGTGCTGTAATAACTGTTGCTGTTGCTGGTGTGCTAGTGCTAAATGGCTCAAGCTGCTGGCATGAGCACTGTCCAGTCGCGGGTGGCCACCAAGTAAGGAGGCAGCAGGCACTCCAGGTAACATTGCAGGAAGTAGATGAGGGTGATGAACAGAATGGTGTGGACCACTAGTCAGATGACTATTAATGGTAGGTAATGGAGTTTGACTAGATGATCCAGCTAATAGGTGAGGTGCAGGAGTTAAGGCAGGGTGATGGGTACCTGGATTTAAACAAGTTCTATGTGATGAGGAATGAAGAGGGAAAGGATGCTGGCTTAAGAAAGGTGAAATATGATTAGCTCCTGTTTCTGGCCCAATAAGAGCAGGATCTCTGTAAACTGTAAAATGCTCATTTTTATCAATGATCAGGGGGCTCTTAGTGGTTTCCATTGTACTGCCTCGAGTAGGAACTGGATGAAAACTACACCTTGATAAATCATGTTCCATCTTATTAGCTAGTCTTCTTTCACCAGTGGCCTGGCTATTCACATGGGTACCCTTAGATTTTAAAGAATCAGGAGAATGAGTAATTTTGGGTTTAACTTCAGGTGAAGGATTAGATTTTGCCTTGTGAACATCTACTGAAATGTTAAGTTTAGATTTTACGGTCTCTGGGGGTGGGCTGCGTTTATGTAGCTTATCTTCTGAAACAGACACTGTACTTGAAGAAACGTAGGGAACAAACTGATTTTTCTCTTTTTCCATGTTTAGATGATCATTTCCAGAAGAAGCACTTTTAACATTTGATTGGGTTAAATCTACTTTAACTACATCGCTGGCCCAGCTCTGGTCAGAATCTTGTTTTGCTGTTTCCAAGTATTTTGTATTGGTAATTGAATGTTTTGAATCGCTAACAGTAGGATCCACTTTTTGAAGCTGAAGACCAAAGGTACTTGAGCTTTCCTGAACCATCTTCTCTGAGTTAGTGTCATTTGTGATGTCAATAACAAATTTTGGTGTTGGTGGTCTGGCTGTAAACTTTTCCTTTGGTAATATTTCGACTGTGTTTTCTATACTGCATTCCTGAAGAAGTACATCATTAGAATTGCGATCAGAAAGTATGGCCTGCTCAGATGAATGGATATTCATTTCTTCTTGTAGCTGTGTGTCAACACATTTCCGTTTTTCTGCTTCTTCCTGTTTCTTATCATCCTGTATTTGATCCCAGTTAGTCTGGTTATCTGTCAATGTTTCTTCTGCCTTCTCATTATTCTGGGATTTTCCTTCTTCCCCATTTATCTTAGAATTGTTTTTATTTTTCAATTCATCCTCTGGCTTCTGCTTGGAGGAATTATCTATTACCTTCTTATTTGAATTTTCTGAATCACTGCTTTCAGAAAAGTCTGAAACATTGTCAGCTCTCAGTCTTTTCATATTTAGTTTCTTTTCATCATCCTCAGGCTTCCTTCTTTTATTTATCAAGTGTTTGCTTTTACCTTTAGGATTTTCTGTAAGATTAAAACAAAAAAAGAACAGTCATGTTTTCATAATGAATACTAAGTAGGTAGCTTTAAAATGTATTTCGTTTGTCTTCACTAAGGGAAAAAGTGGGTCCTACCTCCTCGTGATATACAATCATATTTTTCCTCCTTCATCTTCTCTTCATCTGGTATACTGCTATCCGAGCCCTTTCTCTTATTTGGACGGATATTCCTTTGTTGCTGTTGCTGGTGTGTATTCTGTTTTGGTACAGCAGTTTGGGGGTTCATTGCTGGTCTGGGACTATTTGCTTGGGCACGTGTATAATGACCCTAAAAATGAACATTAACAACGACTGTTTACTACCTGAATCTGTGTAACCTAAAGAAAAGTATTTAATAAAAATCAATTGGTTAATAACATACATACGTGAACAGTGTTGATATTTTGATTGGCACGAGATCTACGTCGTGATGTAATACCAATATTTTCACCTTTTAATAAAGAGTGAACAACATCATCTAGAAAGGTCATTTGAACCATAGAAGGATCGACATTCTGTGGTTCTAGTACCTAGAATCATGACAAAAACAAAAAGTAAACCAGTTAGCTAACCAAAGTGGTATTTGGTGCAATTATTTTCAACTTGGTATAAACTATTAGAAAACAGTTCAGGATCCTTAATTTGTAAGATACTATCATACTTACAATAATCATTTCAATCAATACTAAGCTATTTTTAAGGCAAATTCATTCATTAATTTGGCACAAAGAGAGCTCCTATCTACTGGCTCACTCCCTAAACGCCCAAAGTTGCTGGGGCTACAGCTAGGACCCAGAAACTCCTGTATGTGTGGCAAAACCCAATTATTGTTCCTCCCAGGGTTGCCACTGGCAAGAAGCTGCAGCTGGGAGCAAATCCCAGAAATCAAACCCAGTTACATGGAGGACATGGGTATTTCAACCACACTATCAAAAACTTGCTGTCAAAGTTACTTCTTCAATTCTGTGACATTTCCTCAACTACTTATCAAAAATTTAAAAGCAAATACATTTTAAGTATGCTTAAAAAAAAATAAGGGTAAGAGTTAATTGAGAGTATACACTTAATGGTGAGAATAACAAAGAGGATATAGATATCAAAGTTTTAAAATGAATTTAAAAAACTTAGTGCCTAAAGTCCTCACCTTGCATACACAAGGATCCTATATGGGCACTGGTTCGTATCCCCAGTGCTTTACTTCCCTTCCAGCTCTGCATGTGGCCTGGGAAAGCATTAGGGATGGCCAAAAGCACTGGAACCCTGCATCCACATGGGAGACCTGGAGAAAGCTCCTGGTTTTGGACAAACTCGGCTCCAACTTAGCTCCGGCCGCTGCAACTACTTGGGGAGTGCATCAGCGAGCAGATCTTTTTCTCTGTCTCTCCTCTCTGTAAATATGACTTTCCAATAAAAATAAATAAATCTTTAAAAAAAAACCCACACACACACAAAAAAAACCAAAAATACAAAGTAGGGGCAAGTATTTGGTCTACTAAAACATTCAGGTCTTCTAGCTATAGCTCCCTAAATGCAGTCTCCCACCAATGCAAACACTGCCATCTACATCAGAGATCTCAGGCCGAGTTATCAGTTCACAGTGCAGGTTTACCACTATATGCACTTTAGGAGGTTAACCAGAAAATGTAGAGTTCCATATGTCTCTATTGAATTCAGTAATTTTTAAAAATAGCTGATAAAAAATGAAGAAACACTTGGATAGAGAAAAGGATTTTAAAACATGCTAATAAGTAATTTCAAAACAAAGTTAAAGAACTTTTTAAAAAAATTTTATTACTTTTATTGGAAGGTCAGATAAACAGAGAGAAGAAGAGACAGACAGGAAGATCTTCTACCTGCTGATTCACTCACCAAGTGACCACAACAGCCAAAGCTGAGCTGATTTAAAACTGGGAGCCAGAAGTCTCCTCCTGGTCTCCCATGCGGGTGGGTGTATGGTCCCAAGGCTTTATGCTGTCCCTAACTGCTTTCCTAGTCTACAGGCAGGAAGCTGGATGGAAAGCAGGAAAATGGATGGGACACAAACCAGCGCCCATATGAGACCCTGGTGAATGCAAGGCAAGGACTTTAGATACTAAGTTATTCGCCAGGTCCAAAGAATTATTTGTACAACTGAAAGCAATTTTGTACGTCTTAAGTGTAAATGATGGAGCCCAGTGTGGATATCTAGTGGCTAAATCCTTACCTTGCATTTGCCATGATCCCCTAAGGGTGCAGGTTCCTGTTTCCACTGCTCAACTTCCCATCTAGTTCCCTGATCAAGGCCTGGGAAAGCAGCTGAGGATGACCCAAAGCCTTGGGACCCTGCGCTCACATGGGAGACCCAAAAGAAACTCCTGCCTTTGGATTGGCTCTGCTCTGGCTATTGTGGCCATTGTGGGGAATGAATCAGCACATGGAAGATTTTTCTGTCTCTCCACCTTCTCCTCTGTAATCTGCATTTCAAATGGGGGGGGGGAATCTTAAAAAAAAAAAATGAGGTGAATGGGTGGATCCAGGGCTGTGGCATTGTGAGTAAAGACACAGCCAACAATGTCAGCATCCCATATGGGCACTGGTCAGGTCCTGGCTGTTCTACTTCTAATCCAGGTCTCCGCTGATGGGCAAGAAAAAACAGAGGAAGATCACTAGGTGCATGAACCCTTGTACCCCTGACAGAGACCTAGAAGAAATTTCTTGCTTTAGGCTGGTCTAGTCCTGACCAGTGTGGTCACCTAGGGAGTGAACCAGTGGATGGAAGATCTCACTCGTTCTCTCCCTCTGTCTTTCCCTTTCTCTATCTGTACCTCGTTCTTCAAATGATCTTTTTCTGAAATGTGGAAAGTTTGGCTACCTAGTACCATTTGCTTAGTGTTTTAACTAAATTCTAACCAAAGTATTTGAATCGTTTATAAAGAAGTTCTGTTACATATAATGTATATTAAAGGTGAAAAGAAATTTGCTATTTTTTTTTAAATGGACAGAAAAAGATTTCAAGTAAACAAAAAAAAAAATCAGGTAATCTCAGTTAAAATGAAGACTAATCAAGAAAAGATTTTGACGCTTATTTCAAGGACTGATCTTGCATGAGTTGAAATAAATCTGGTGTCAGTATCCCTTTCATTTGAAGTGACTTAGAGCTATGTGACATCGGTGAATTTAAATTTATTATTCATATTAGTATAGTGTAAAAACCTAAGAGATGAAAATTATTTAGTGCCAAACTGTTGGCACAGACTACATATACTGTAAAAATCTCATTTCAGAAATACCAGTTAGTGTTTACCTGATCATTCATAACGATCATGGTGCGGGTGAAGAGATCATGATGAGTAATTATACCAGTAAACCACTGGGTGGCAGAGTCTTGTCTATATACTCTCACTCTATATCCATTTAAGGAGTAAGGACCTTTAAAAAATACACAAAAAACAGATATCTTTAAATGAAGATATTTAGGAACTACCTTTTAGGAGAAATCTGTGAAATGTGATAGATGTATAATATATCCAAAGATTAGATTTGAAAATAAAGAAACCAAAAGGTAAAGTCATTTAAAATAGATAATTCTCAAACTATGATATGTACAAACTATTCCTGACTCAATGAAAATAAAACAAGTAGGCAAAAAGTTTCTAAGTTCATGAAATAAGCAGAATATAAAATATAAAGATACCGTGCTTAACAGTATATTACGATTACAAAGCTACTTAATAAAATTGGGATGGATGACAACATGGCTGAAATACAAAAATAATTTAGACTTTGATGTCGGAGTTTCCCAGTTTCAAAACTTTTATCACAGTCTCCCACAAAATTTGGATTTGGCAGTAATACCTAAGCAAATGTTGTTGATAGTCTTAAAACATGAAGAGATTGTTAGGTGAAATATTTAAATTTAGCACTTACTGTTTTCCTAAGAAAAAATAAAGTGCACTTGGGGTTCAACTATTTTTTCTCAAACACAAGGGAGGATTAAATGTTGTAGGATCTACATGTTATGTTCAGATATTCCTATTAGAACAAAGGTCATTTCACAAGAGGAGACAGTAATGGAGATGAAATTTCCAGTTCAAAAGCACCAAAAAATTCTATCAAGTACTTTGAACTTACTGTTGAGGGGAAGCTACCACACACAAACAGAAGCAGTGTATATACAAACTATTTACATTGTTTTCAAACTTCTAAATATCTCTTTATCCCTTTCCAATTCTTAGATATTGATATCCCTTTTATAACAGTTAAGAGAAGTCAACAGATTAAGTAAATATTTAAGCAAAACATTTATGACTAAATTTATTTTTCTGATTCGTAGGCTGATGTATTTTTCTATAGTGTAAGTGACTCAATATACGAACTAATGGTTTAATTAATCGCTTATCTATTTAGTAGCTTTAAAACATCAGCCTAAAACCATAAATTTACATTTCTGTAGAAAATATTCCATACGACCCATGAATGTATTCATCTACAGAAAAATAAAGATGTCTGCCAAGCATAATTTAAGGGAGATAATAGGAAAACACTGTTTGTAAGCTAAAATGTATTGTATAAATTTATTTCTTCTCTATGACCGTTTTTTTTAAAAATAGAAAATGCTTAATAATACAGAATAACTTTAAATATGACCAGCTTTCGACTCCCATCAACAAACTATTATTACTAACAAACACTGGCTTGTCCTACCTAACAGCAGCATTTGGAGTCTGCCTCACACAATTCTGTGTAAAATTAATAGAACTGTCAATATTAATGCCTTAATCTTATCTCTCCTAAGGATATACTGAAGAACAAAAAGCACTTGTTTCAAAGAAATTAGTGTGGTTTCTCAAATAAATTGCAAGGGAAGGGGTAAAAAAGTAAAGTAGGGGACATAGCAATCACAATTTGTGGGATTTTTCTGCTTTTCCTAATTTTAAAATATTAAATAAAATCAAATATGACTCGACAGAAATGAGAACATGAACCTGACTACATATATCATACTTAATATTGAAGTACAATTATTTTTTCCAGCATAACAAGTAGGGAGTCTTGTTTAACAAAGGACAGCGGTGAGCATTTGACCTGACAGTTGATATTAAAGTTAGGATGCCCACTGCCTTGGGTCTAGCTTCATTCAAGACTTAAGTCTCCTGTCAATGTACACCTTGGGAAAGGGGTAGTAGACCTGGCTACTGTAAGCATTATGGGGAGTAAACCAGGGAATGGGGCACTCTGTTTCTCTGCCTTTAAAGTACATGAATAAACACAAATTTCTGAAAAATTAAATAATAATGTGATCTGAAATTCAATGGATATAGAGAAAACATGGATGAGAGAGCAGAATCTGCTGAGGAGACAGTTATATAGAAATTACTAACACTATTTTTGTGTACGCTCCAAACTCCCCACAATACAGTTTAAATAGTAATTAGTATAAGAAGAATTTATCATGTAGATTATCTGTTGCTGTAAAGCAAAACAGCCACAGCTATGAGATTATCTTCATTAATGTTTAAAGGCACAAAAGTTCAGGGCTGAAGTAAATTTGGAAATTTCAGCACAAAATGCCATTCTTAACATTCAACATAAAAGTTCATAGCACATTATCTCAAAATTACAAGCAATTCACAAAAAAGCTTTTATCTTTCAAATATGATTTCACTGATATAAATATAAAAAGTAATCATTAATTATAAAACCTCACTGGTTTGAAGGTCATGTGTTGTAAACAAACCTGTAACTTATTAAACAAAGGAAATAACTAAGATTAGTATTGAGGTAATTGCTGAGAAACATGGACGAAAGCAGTCCACTTCTATCAGATACAGACAGCACTTTTCATAGAAAATTAGTTGTGGCTTTGGGCAACACTTTAAGGCAAACAATGCTTCCTTCTCTAGGAAAGACACACCTCAAATATTGTCTTATGGAAAGTTTCCAATTAAGGAAACACCTGGCTGAAATTTTATTGCAGATGTTTACTTTGAATTAGTTAATACACCAGTGAATTCATCAATTTTTAGGGAAATAATTATGATTCTGTTAATATTTTCTCTGGACTGAATGTAATTCAAAATATTAGATTGGTTTTCTACTTACATTATGTAAACTTGAACAATACAAGACAAAGGGGTAAGTTGGCTAGTTCAAAAAATTAATGCATTAACTTCAAAATAGTTACCTTGCATAAAAATCTCCTGAACCTTTTGTTCCTTTACCCAGACTTTCACTTCCTCGTGAAGCTGCGGGTTGTCCCTGAGAACTGGATTTAGGCTGTCTATGTCGTCCTAGAATTACAGATTAAAAGAAAAGGACCATGTTATGCTCTCCTAACAATACCACCAACTTTTCTTCCTATGTGTTCTAAGGCTTGAAGAAAGTTTCTTCATTTAAATGTATGCAAAAGTACAAATTCATAACCTGTACTTCATTAGCAACTACTTCACAATAGTTTCAGGTAAGATTTTGAAACTATCATATTGTCTAAGTTTTTAAGTATGGCTTTGTTCTAACTGGCTTTTTAAGGGCTTTCTTTTTTATTAGAAGCAATACAAACTAAAAGCATCAGGTTAAGGTGGTGCCAAAGAATACAGCTGAATGTTTTACTGACAAGAGATAAATACAAGTGAGTGTCCATAATACCCATTATGATTTTTCTTTTTAAAATTTAACTAAGAGTCACAGAGGGACAGAGAAAGAAGTGATCTTCCATTAGCTGGTTCACTCCCTAGATGGTTACACACAGGGTGCGGCTAGGTTAAGCCAGAAGTCTAGTCTGGTCTCTTACATGGGTACAAGAGTTCAAATATTTGAGCCTTTTCCAGGCCATTAACAGACAGCTGGATTAAAAGAAGAGCAGTCAGGATTCCAACAAATGCAGTGCCATAAGGCAAGCTCCCTTAAAATATGACTTTGAAACTAATAGCACTAATTCATTGTACTGATTTAAATGACAAATTCAATTCTACTCAAATTCATGTGACTAGTAACTTCACTGCCATAGGTTTTATTCTTTTCAGGAAAGCATTAACACATTCAGGCGACTAAAATTACACTACTGGCAATATTGTCCCTTTAATATGGCCAATACATACACACACACACACACACGCAAAAACAACCAGCTGTGTCCTTCCAGATCTGAATCATGCAGTCACATAGTTTTGCACTATCTCCCGGTCCCTGCTGGACTCTGACATATTCTTTTTCTCTTAAACATTTCTGGTTGCTCCTACATTTGACATCAGCTGCAGGAGCCAAAGAGTACCTGGAAAGAACAAAGTAGTACTGTCTACCACCATCTATTTAAAAAAAAAAAAAAGATTGGCAGATTTTAGAAAACACAGAGCAGAAATGACCTAAATCAGGGAAACTCTATATGCTGTATACAAATATTTAGCTGAGAGGTGGCTACAGGACACCAAAAAGAACCCTTAAATAAAGCAATATTTTACTCCTCTGCTTCAAAAACTTTTAAGATTTCCATCTCATCTTACTACCTCTACAAGACATACTTTCTAGTTTTGGAAGTCTTTTGATATAATATTATGACATGATCCTCACATTTAGTGAATGACCCTAACATATATGCACAATGGTCAACATTATTATACATGTGCCTTCTGAAATATAAAACCTTTACCCACCTGGTAAACACTAGACAACAGCCTAGACTACAACAAACTTCAGAAAGAAATTTCTGAAGGAAAGCAATTAGAACTTTGACAGCTCTGAAAGCTACAATTCTAAAACCATTCTCATTTTAATTCTGTATGTATCCATCCAGATTCCCATTACAAACACAGGAAGTTATAAATTATTTTTAAAGTAGCACTGCTGGGGTTGATGCCATGGCATCGCTGGTGGTAAGTTTCCCCTTGCAGCATCAGCATCCCATATGGGATACCCCACTTTCAATCTAGCTCCCTGCTTTTGGCTCAGGAGAGTAGAGGACAGTTCAAGCTCTTGGGATCTTGCATTCAAATGGGAGACTTGAAGATTCCAGGCTTCTAAATGGCTCAGCTCTGGCTGTTATGGACATTTGGAGAGTGAATCAATGGATGCAAGACTTTCTCTCTCATTTTTCTTTGCAACTTTGTCTTTCAAATAAAAATCAACCAACCAACCAATCAATAAAGAGTAGCATTTCTAATACTTTGCAAATAGGTAGCTAATAACACCAGTTGCTTATTGTAGGACATCAACAACTTGCACCTGGAGAGACACAAAATTTGCTTGTTCAACATTTATTTGTTTAACGGGTTAAATTAACAAACTGTGATTCCAAGATCCTGACAAAATAACCACTCGTTTCCTGGTAGAAAAAGGATATTAATAACTGATTCTTCGGGGTGAGCATTGTAGCCCAGCAGATTAAGTTGCTACTTGTGACACTGGCATCCTGGGAGCACTGCTGGTTCCTGTGC